CTATAATGCTTGGATGCATTGCCTATTTATAGGCAAACATCCATGCAAAAGACAAGTGCAAGGTAGGTGACACCAAATTTAAACAAACTACCTCTAAAACTTGTCGAAATTGCTCAACTAAAGGTCCATTAACTCAAAAAAAAAGTTAAAACAAATCAAACTAAACCAATTAATTTGGTTATTTTATTTAATTTAATTAAAAAAAATAACTAAAATTAGTTAGGTTATATATTTTTTTATCCAAACCAAACCGTTCGAACTAATTTTTTTTTTTTTAAGCTTCGGTTATATATATTTTCTTATCTAAGCCAAACCGTTTGAAATAATGCTAGCTCACCCCTAATTATTACCGTGTATTTAGTGCAATGTTTGCTCGCTCACATCTAAATAAAACGGAATAATTGGATCCCACGTGTTTGTGAGTGGAGGAATGTCAAAGGGAGCAGCATCACACTAGATCGACGGAGTAAATCAATTCTCATGCAAGGACGCGTGTACTACAGTACAGTAAAGGACTCGCCCATCTAAGGACTCCATGAGTTTTCTGAAAGGCCAAAACTATATCAGCACATGCAGATCAAATCTTAGGAGTGTTAATTCACAGATTGAGATGTATCAAATCAACAAATTAAACTGCGTAAATATCTTTGCAAATCCAACCCTTTATTCATCATATTTAGGCAATCCAGTCTAACTTACTTCAAATGCGAAGAAAATCAATGTAGCACATAATTTGGAAGGAATTGCAGGGAGGATAGAAGGATTTTGATGGATAGGATAGTAATCTCAAGGGTCTATTTCTATGAAGTTCCTTTGTTTTTGATCAACAACGAGATGAATAGGTTGGCATTCATCCTTCTTCTTTCATCTCTTCCCTTTGCCATTTCTACCCTATAATACGTACATCTTTCATGCCGTGATAGATTGTTACAAGGCACATACTTCTCGACCAGAAGAAATAACCAAGAACCCTCCAATTCTTTTTTTTTTTTAGATTAATGTGGGTGTCCGGGCTAGCTTGCGTGCACCACGACTAATCCCACAGGTCCTGAAGTTAACAACTATGTAAGCCTCCAGTGACCATCATATGAGCAACTAAGAACTCGAACCTGAGACCACAAAGGGAACAAACCCCTTAATCTCAAATCCTTATTGGCAGATAGTTAAGTCTTGGGCCAGAGGGCGCACGGAGGAAAAGTCTTGCTATGAAAGAAATTAATTAGGTAGTTGAACCACAGGTTGCTTCGGAGTGTGTCTTACCACCGACAAATTTTATTGAAAGCGATTAAAATGTTAAATAAAAGTATCAAATAAGAAAATAAAAAATTAATAGAATAAAAAATGAAATTAAAAAAACATATAAAAATTATGTGGCCACCAAACAATCTTGCCTCATAACCAAGAACCCTACAATTTTTATCATTGACCTGAGTGCGCATGGGAGGAAAGTCTTCGCCATGAAAGAAACCAAGAGTGTGGACCAATGTTTCAACCAGTAACTTCATTATTAATGTCACAAAACACTGAAATAGAAAATAATTGACCACTGTGTCAAGTTTTAAATGAGTATGTGACATGGGATGGCAAAGCATTATATGTTTATACGTAAGACTAGTTAGGAGGTCGTGCCAAGTCACGAGCCAATTATTTTTAGCATAAAAATATTAAAAAAAGATCAGTAATTTAAATATATATATATAGGTAATTTCCTCTAATAAATTTAATAAAATTAGTTAAATTAATGATATTAACAATAAATAAAATCGAGAAAAAATAACAATGATTCAATACAAAATATGAATATTTGTTAATATTATAATGGAACTATATCTTCATAATATTTTCAATACATTTTAATGATCTTATTTGTTAATAAAATAAAAATAAAATAATTGTATCAAAAAATATAAGATAAAAAAATTAAATTAATGTTAACTTTTTAAACAATGATCTAGTTTATAAGAACGAAAACACTATATATGAAAAACAACACAAGAATCAAAAAAACAAAAGAACAAAGAAAAAAACAATACATTATAAACTTTGATTGAAAGGTGAAACTAAAAACAATGAAACTTTCATAAAAAAATAAAAAAATTATAAGAATAAACATCATCAAAACTTAATAATAATAAAAAAATATACAAAATCATTCAACGTGTTTTTTACATGAAAAAAAACTTCTATATATAAATCAAAAAACTTATACATGCATCTAATTAAACAAATCAATAATCATTATATAAAGTAATGAAAAAATATTCCTTAACAATAAATGAAAAGGAAATTGAAAAAACCAAACAGAAAATGAAGATCAAGATATCTGACATTGTAATATAAGTAATTCACATTATTATGTTTGATAAACTTCTTTATCAAAATAAATTTATAATAAAAAAATACATAAAATTTACAATAAAAACTGACTCACATAAAAATTAAAAAATTATTATATTTTTCTGCCGGTTCTAGATTTCCAAATTCAACATGTTACCACATGCCTATTTTTTTTTTTTTTTTTTTGG